CGCAGAGGGTCATGTAGAGGGCGACCAATATGTACCCCTGAGTACATTTAGTGATCTCTGCAATCCCCATGCACTTTCCCCTTTCTCTGCACGTCATGTAGAGCGTGTTTGCATCCCTGCCATGTCGCAGAGCGAAGAGAAGAAGGGTGATTGGTGATAGGTGTTGAGGAAGCCACCGGAGCTATCGATAATATTGATAACTTTCTGCCAATAAGGTGTCCCCAGCTGTCCCCATTATTGTTCCACTTATTGATTGTGTTACAGCCCCTTCCTTGGTCATGGGAGCATTTCACCTCTAAACAATTTCATGGAAATGGTCTCCAACCTAACACGTCGATTGGCGCAGCGGGTTCGTTCCTTGTGGACATAGGATCGGTCGCGGGATCAGTTCCATTCGAAACCCAAGGTTTTGCAACCCTCATAGGTTACTACCTTGCATTCTACAATTCTTTCAAAGTGAACCAGCAATGCTTTGTGGTGCAGTGGCAAACGTCGCGCTCATGGACGCTGCATTACATGGTTCAAGTCCATGGGCGATGCGAGTTTTGCTAGGAATGTAGTGAAGTTCGCCGTTCACACTCATCTGTCTTGCCTTTCATTATTCGCCGTTTACGGCCGTAGTTCACCACCCTTGACTCCCAGTCTATGGCACTTTACTACCGTCCCTGAGGAACTGTCCATCAGGTGACTCCCAAGTCCAACGAAGGTGAGGGGGGAACTGTGAGTTACCATGGATGGTGTTGGTCGACATGATAAACTCCGACAGTCTCTCACCCTGCTCATTCCATTCCATTCCGTGAGTACCGATGTGAAGTTCTTCAGCCGTTCTTCTTGGGCCAATCTTAGCGTTGAAGTCGCCGACGATGACCTTGAAGAAGGTATGATCTTCCCTGTAGAACTTCTCCAATTCCATATAGAATGCTTCGTGTTCTTCCTCGTCGTAGCTGGATGTTGGTGCGTAGGCGACGAAGATTGTCAAAGCAGGAGTTGAACCACATCTTCTCAATCTCAAACGTCCGATTCGGGTCGTAAGGCTTTCGTACGAATCGATGTTTATGGCCAAGTGCGTGTTGACGAGGACACCCACACCGCCAACGCCTCTGCTGTCGCATGTTCCAAGGAACAGTTCTTCTCCAGTATCGAAAACGGCGTGTAGCGGGCGGTGCCTTCTCGTCTCGGTCAGTCCGATGACGATGTACTTGTATTCCTGCTTGCATCATGTATGAAGAATCAATCGGTTTAAAATTTCGATTGTAAATCCGATGAATCGTAATCTCAGATAATAACAAGTAGTCCTATCGTTTTGAATTTTCAAATTGCTGTTAATTGATAAAACAATGCATTGCATACAGTTCAGCGTCTCTCGAGCTTCGGATCGCAGGACGTTCGTGGGTTAGAATGGTCAGAGTCCGCACCACTGTCGGCAGAGTGCAGCCTCCTTCGTTTAGCGCCTCGATGCCGGCCAGGAGCGAGATGCCGAGAGCGCTCTATTGGACGTTCAGCAGGTGTCAGAGGCGAAATGCGAGGCTATCATATATTGGGTTTTCAGGGCATATTGTGAGAGAGCACGACGAGGTAGCTTTGACCTTTCTCTGCGGGGGGGCTGGGAATAGACATCCAAGGTACGGTAGCCCAACGGTGTACTTGGGGGCTGATGTCTATGAGCTGAATACCAAGAGCTTGTTGTGGAGGCGGTCCCTACGATGCTCGACTCCGATTATCCTTTCCATGTCATTGGTTGTTAAGCTTTGTTGACTGGTTGGAGACCATGCAGCCCAGATACACTGCCACACACAAGAGAGGCACCCAACACGCAAGCATTGCATTGAGATGCGCCTGTGTTGGAGACAGTTAAGGGTCATGACAATCAACACAGCGCCTTAAGAAACCAGGGAGTCCATCCCTGAATTTCCGCACCTGCGGTACTCAGGGTAAGTACTCTAGCAAGCGGTTGGCGTTTGTCAGTAGTTCTCTCGCCCGCAGTGGGCGGAGCCGCCGCCAGTCCACGTGGTGTGGGCAGTCTGCAATATACCCCCTATTCGCCACCTGGGGTCGCGCCACGTAGCCTCACCACCAACCGGCTAGAGGTCTTTCAGTGAGAGAAGGCCTCACTGAAAGAGATCCGTGGACAAAGAAATCCTTCAAGAAAATGGGACCCCTTCCGTTGCCCAATGACCTCCGAAAATGGACGAACTAGCAACCAACTATGATGTCGTTTGCACATTGTAAATCGATACCAACAAAACCATGCTTTGGGTGATAACGCAGTTCGTGGGAATTTATAGAATATACGCTCGAAGTGGAATATTTTGCCTGAAAAATAAAATAGAACAATGATGCTGTTATTGTACTAACATACTGATGGGCGGCAGAGGCGGAGCTCAGGAAGGATTGGCAGCCACAGGGCACTGAACTAGCGCGCCCTTGGCCATGAAAAGACCACATCTTGCTTCCTTTAGCCCATGACTAGTGGTGGTAAATGTACTTCCATGCTTGCACACATACTTTATCATAATCCCTTGCTGTAAAGGCTGATTCGGTTTTCCGACTGTCGTATTATGATTTGCCCTAAGCTACACTATGTCTCATCAAAACTTCCATGAGAACTCATATCCGTACTTCCTCAGTACGAAACGCTTGAAGTAGTTTTGCAGGTATGCTAGGATCGTCGGGTATTGCATCAGGGATTGTGTCGATGGACGATCGCGCTGAAAGAGCTCCGCTGTATCGGGGCTTTTTCGTTTCGCCGAACTCCGACCAGGTAGAGAATTAGATTCGTTGCTAAAGTACAACATATGAAAGTAGACTAGAGTAGTTGCTAAAACCATGTAGAATTAGTAAGGAAGTCGGATTTATCATTTCTTGAAATGTTTCAGACAGAAAACTCAATGGTGCAGAAAGTCTTTTTGTACATAATCACGTGACGTTCATTATCACAACAAAATTCAGCCGTAAAAATCATGAGTTTATCCAGAAATTTCTAGGTATCATCGATGGTTCACATGGAGCCCACAATGATTCCGAACTGTGATGGAGTGACAAGCAGAAGTGGTTGCTACGATATCGTAAGTGTTACCTAATTTTTACCGAATTAAGTCTCGAAATTCAAACACTGTTTTCTGAAGACCAAGTTGGTTGGATTTTTCAGGTGGTCACGGATCTATTGCGTGATTTTTGGCCGTCAGTTGACCGGCGTATGCCGAAGGACGAGCCAACCTGCGGATTCCGCGGAGAACGCTGCGATTTCACTCTATTTATTGTAGGAATAGTTCTCATTGTTTTGCTGATCCTCGTCGTTTGCGGCACCTACGGCATTCACAAAATTGTGTAGGTCACCATGAAGACATTAATTTATTTTTGCTTCGGTTAGGTAGAAAGGTACTACACTTCGCCCTCGTTGCTTTCATTCGCTCATTTGTTTTCAGCGAAAAAAGAGCGCTCGACAAGTTGCCGTTCCGCATTTACCGCGACGATATGCAGTTCATAGACGAGGAACAACTCAAAAGCATGGTATCTCTAATCTATTTATTGAAAGGCAAAAGTCGGGCTCAATAAGGGGGTATTATGGCGATTGAAACTGAGTATAGAGATGCGAAGTGGAACGACAGTGGAGAAAAAACTGAGAAAAACCGTCGACAAGGCCGTTAACAAAACCCTCTTTCCCACTAGCAGTGAAGGAGGCTGGCTTGGGAAAGAGGCACGTACAAACAAGTTTTCTGGAGATGTCAGTCGTTCTATCGGTTGATACGGCAATCAACCTAGCTGATTTCACACGTTATGCCAGCCACGCACCACTTCCGGAGGTGGGCGGTCCTGGATTGACCAGGCGGCCCCGGATTGAAACCGAACGCCC